CTGTCACGAGGAATTGGGAAGCAGGAACTGGAAAAACACAATGTAACTCCAACGAAGAAAACTTGTCATAATCTTTCATAATTTTTCCTATAATTACAATAATTTTTTTATAATAATTCTTAAATTTTATATAATTTCTTATAATAATAATTCCTTTCATAATTTTATGATTATCTCTCCATAATTTACGCCATAATAAGACAGAGGAGGAGCGTAGACTGCTTGCTCGTATGTTCATCTAAAATAAGGCATAAACTCAATCCATGCTGATTATAAATTATAAATTACTACAAAAAATTATTATAGAAGAACTACTATAAAAAAGATGCATTCTGATCAAAGATCAGCATAGAAACTCGCATTAACCTCGGTATTGCTCAAAAATCATTTGAACAGTTAGCTGCCGTACGACCATACAGAAGAAATCCATGATATCACTGGTTGTTTCTTCGACTGCAGCTGTTGCATCTGCAAAAACGAAATTTTACAACTAAACTGGCAAAAAAAGAACACCTAAGACACGAAATGGTACAAGCTGCGTCTGTTACAGGCTAGATCTTCAGTCAGTGCAGCTGGCACAACTTTTTCATCGGCTGGGGCAAGAAATAGGAAACGAGTGAGCTGGCGAAAGGGGAGGGGGTGAGGGACGGGAGGAAGAAATAGGGGGAGGGGAAGGAGGGGCAGGAAGGGAATAGGCCAGAAACTTGCCTGAATAGTTGTACATGTTAAAAGCAATCACTTTTAGGCGAGGGTTTCGATGATTCTCTCTTTCGAGGGCTTCTTGGGCGAGAGCTGACGATAATTTTAACTTCATTGGGTCTCAATTCATCAACGAAACGAATGAACGAGCCGCAGAGGGGCTGGCTATTTCGCGAGCGCCACTGAACCCCGGACCTTCCATACAACAATAATACTATTTTTCACTGCGCTATGCTTGCCAACAATTATAAAAAAAGTTCCGAAAAAAATGGAAGAACTTACAAAAAAGTCCAAGTAAAGCATCAATGTAAAGTGATCGTGAGCCTCGACTGTTGCACTGGTACGCCGGCTGATAACCCTCTGTGTTCTTCGATCTTATTTCCTGAAGCAAACAAAACAATAGCATTCCTTCACTATACATTGTACATATATATATACAGATAAGTATTCCTCAGGAATTTCGGATTGCCAGTATGAAATGGGTCATTTTAGATAATCAGCAAATATTTCATCACTTCAATTAAAATAATAGACCAGAAGGACTGCACTCAGGCGTTATATGTAAGGTGATATTTTACGATGCAATCTGTGTTTCATCTCTTAGCTGTAAACACAGACCGAACTATGCATGCGAGTAGCAGTGGGAATTGTCAGTACAGCCTAAAACCGAACAGATTAAAACTATCCAAACTGCCCGGACAATCAGTAAGGGGTATCGTTTTTTGCGATTTTACTACGATACTTTCATATGCCGGGTGTTTTCGCCCTGTTATTACGGTTTTGGTACCCTCACCAACAGACACATTGGGTTACATTTATTTTAGCTTTGGGTTACAATTGAAAAACAATTACTATTATAGTTATTTTCATCTTTATTACTTGTATTATTATACTATTATATCACTATTGCATTATTATATTCTTGCTGTACCATTATATTATTACTGT